TTGTTGTTATTTACAGCCGCCAGCTACAAAAATAATTTTGAAATCAAATGATTGTTTCTCTCTTAAAAACAAATGTGAGGTGCATTATATTTTATTTAGGTTTAAAATTAGGGGTCTGTGTGTCCTCACACTTGGAGTCCCTGAACTGGATTTCGTTTGATGTGTTTGTGTATTTGGGGCATTTTTAAAGAAATTCTCTGATGCTTTCTGAGGTAAATGTTCTCACACATCAAGAAGAAGTTTGTGCTCGAGTACTGATGAGTATTTGTGTGTGTGTTTGTGCAGCACTCATTCAGCACTAGTTAGCAGCTCTTGTGTGTGCATTGTATCCATGTTGTTTGTGGAAACAGCACGCTAACCAAGCTAGCTAAGCACTCAACTGACTTGGAAAAGCCAACACAGGAATGGCTGCATGGTGTTCTTTTAAAATGTAAACTGAGTTTACCCATTTGAGCTCATTAGAGTTTGGACTGTGAGGTATGTTGCTCTGAGATGTTGTCAGCACACAGTTTCTTCCATGCTTTGACTTCCTCCTCTTTAAAATTCATAAAAAGAACAGTCTGTTCCCATTTATTTCAGGATATTTTAAAAGTTATAGTTTTAGTTTAACACCACATAAACAGCCTTTATGTTTTGCTTTGTTAGGATGTAAATGGCAGCCAGAAGAGGACAGTAAAAAAAAGAGTGAGTGGGAGTGACAGGGTCATAAATCAGTGTCTGAAAATCAAAACACAGCTCAGTCAGATTCATCTGATGTTTCTCCTATTAAATTTAATGAGAGGTTCTGTGTGAGGCATACTTACCTTTAGATCGTCAGGGGGTCTTTACTAATGCTCCTGTGTGGGTAGAAAGATAGGCAAGGTTCTCATTTTGTCTTGTGGAAAACAGTAATCTGTGACATTTATGAGTCATGCTGACTGGGGATCTATCTGACTCAAGAGCATAAATAAAAGGGACAAGAAACAAAAACAAGAGGAGACATAAAAAAGACATCATGCAGCTTTAAGAAAAAAGAACTCAGTTTAAAGACTGACAGTAATAACAATGAGACAGAGTCCTGGAGACAGACTAGAACATAGAATTTAATGCTAAAGAGCAAAGTCAGTTTTTAAAAATCTAAAAATAAGCCACAACCAGCTCAGCCGGGACACTCGGACACTTGAAGGGCGGAGTTTAAATATAAAATCCACTGCAGTGGTTAGATCTGCAGGCGTTTCAGTTAAGCTCCTATTGCTTACTTACCGTACAGTGTAGATGTTGATTGCATAGCTTTACAGCAATAACACAATTCAAGTTTATACTGGTTCCCTTAAGGCCTTCTATTTTGTTTTTTATGTAGCCAGGGTTTATCTGCATGATGTCATATCCTTTTGTGAGATGAGTAACGATTAACAAAAAATATTTTTTGCAGCTTTTCCCAGAGAGCTGATATGAAGCCTCCACCATTTGTGATACTGTTTATACTATGATGATGATGATGATGATGTGTGGGTCTTTAAAAAGCTGCAACCTTCAAAGGTGTAAAGTTAAGCCAAGACAGAGAAACAGAAACTGCAGAGGAGGCCACTGGAGGCTGGCTGTAAAAGCAGGTCAGTCCCAGCAAACTCCCATATTAAAACATCGAACCCTACAGCAGAAATAATCAGGTTCATAAAAGTGCTTCAGTGTCTATAACTATTTTCTAACAACTTGACAACTGTATGAGTCACAATTATTTTATTTTGACATTCTTAACAAGTCAGCCACCCATTTGAATTTTATAAGGACGTTTGCACTGCACATGCTCACACAGGCAGCTAGCTGATAGCTGTCTGCCAGGCTTCACCTCAGCTCATTCATCTCATACCTCAGTTTTAGTCAGTAAAATTTGGGGATTTTATTAATCTGTGACTATTAAACAGCATGCCGGTGCCTTGGCCACAGCTTCCAGGTTAGAAAAGTGAAGCTGGTGCATAGCTGCCTTAAACTGAGATTCTTTCTGATGGTCAGCAGGGGGCTTTTCAGATTTTCCTATCGTTTCTTCTGTCCTATCCTATTGAATGCAATCGTGCAAATTTAGCAAATCATGGTCTTAAAGTAAAAAACGAGTAGAAAGCAGGGTTTACTCTTACTCA